TTTTATTTTTATTTAAGAATTACTCATTTAATTTCATTTAATTATTATTATTATTATTATTTTTATAGAGATTTTTTGCTATAGGGCACATGCACTCACCAGAGGGACAGAAAGCGAGATATCACTCCCTGGGAGGATGGCCACATCGCAATCTCTTTTCCTCTCAGGATTTTGGGCAAGCACATACATGCACCCAGTGTGAGTTTCAAGCCTCTGGGTCCAGGACTCAAACTGGTTGGCCCTGTGGCTTCCAGCAGTGCAGTTGTTTGCTACTAAATGCACCATCAGGCTGGGCTAGCATCACCGCTTCAGTGAAGCTTCTCTTAACCAGTAGGAAGACTGTCTCAATGACTAGCTCATAGAAGCAGGGACTGTGCTATTATCACCTCAGTCTGTCTGACACCTCCCCGAGTTTCTACAGAGAAGATCTCCTGTAACATTAATAGATAAATGAGAAGTCACCTGGAGCTACAGGCACCTCCACAGTGGGATGCCAGGGCATGATGCCACTAGGCAGGGATTCCAGACATGGGTTTTGGCTGCTACTTTTTTCCACTCTTTTAAAATAAATACAACTGATACATGTCTTGAAATGTTAGCTAAATAAATAACCTAAAAAGCTAAAAATAAAAATGTTAGGTACAGGGACCAGCAGTTAGCGTAATGGCTATGTCGCCGGACTCCCATGTAGTTGACCATGGTTTGAGTCCCAGACACGGTGGCTTAAATTCATGCTGGGCATGTGTGTATGCGTGCCCAAGATCCTGAGAGGAGAATGGAGGAGAAGGGATTGCGGCGTGGCCATCCCCACTGGGGGGTGATTTCTTGCTTTCTGTCTCTCTGTCTTACTGGTGAGTGCACGTGCCCTATAGCAAAAAACTCTCCAAAAAAAAAAAAATGTTAGGTACATTTTTTAAAAAGTTTCTTTCCTTTACAAGAGAGACAAACAGGCATCCCCAACCAGATCTTGCCATGCCACGATCCTGCCCCCTACCTTCCAGTCAGTTGGGCTCAAAAATGTGCTCCTATGTTGTACCTGCTGTGTGTTCAAGTCAACCCAGGATCTGTACCCAGGGCTTATCCATGAGGCTCCAGTATCACACAGTGGTGCCCCACCACGTGTGTCACTGCAGCTGGCTGGGCCCACAGTTTTTATTCATGCATTATTTATAGCACTGAAAAACAAAACCACAGGGGATTCAACACTAAGGGAATGGTAAATCATTTCTAGTATATGAGGGTTCTTCAAAAAGTGCATGGAAAATGGAATTAACTGATAAATTTGTTTCTGTGAAAAAATTTTTGAAATCCATGAATAGTTTTTTCCTAAGAGGCATTTTCCATAAACTTTTTCAAGTCCTCCTATATGTGTATGATCAATATGTATATGACCACTTAAAATCACGCTCATGAGTTTTTAAAATTATTTATTTTATTGTACTTATTTTTTTTAATTTGACCAGAAAGAGACAGAGAAAGAAAGAAAGAAAGGGAACATGGGAAAGCAAGCCGCCAGGCCCAGGACTTGAACTACAGTCAGCCATGTGGGAGTCCAACACCTTAACCTCCATACGACCTGCCAGCCCTAATTCATGAGAAGTTTTTAATGTCATGAAAAAGTACTTGTGATGCAATAAGGGGGAAAAGCAAAGTAAAATGTGTACGTGCAATAATATTTCACTGACATAAAATATTCACTGGAACAAGACTGCATAGAAGTTACTGGATGATTGGATTGCTGGTGATTGTTCTCTGCCTTTTTTTTAACTTTCAATTTTTATGTTAAGATCATGTATTCATTTAGCAGTACTTAGAAATAACAGTAAAATGCATACATCTTAAGATAAATTTTTACATTAAAAATATCACTGAATTTTTGTATCTGTGCACCTCCCTGTGACCACCTTCTACATAAGGATATAGCACATTTCCATCAGCCCAGAAACTTCCTTCCCATCTGGCATTCAGAACCTCCTGCCTGCATTATGACTTTTATCAGTATAGTTTTTTGTATTCTTGAACTTGATGTAAATAGAATCATATATAATATATTCTTCAGTGGTGTCTAGCTTCTTTCACCTGAACTAATGTTTTCGAAAGTCTTCCTTATGAAAGATTTTGTTGCATATATCAATGGCTTTTTCGTTTGTCTGTTTTCCATTATACAGTCATGACTGGTATGAGGTTTTGGTCAGTGCTGGCCACATATGTAACAATGGTCCCATGAGGAACACAGAGCTACACCATCCAGCCTAGGTGTGTAGTAGGTCATACCATCTAGATTTGTGTAAGTACACTCTGTGATGCCTGCACAACAACAAAGTCACCTAATGGTGCATTTTTCCGAATGTATCCCTACTTGTTAAGCCACATGTGACTGTATTTCATTGCATTATACCATAAGTTGTTTATCCATTCTCCTACTGAAGGGCATTTTGACTGTTTCCAGTTTGGGGCCATTCTGAATAAGGCTGCTACCCACATTCACAAACAAACCTTTTGTGTATATGCACACTCATCTACGGGTACACACACCCAGAAGTGGAATTACTAAGTCATCAGCAGTGAGATATTACTACAGACTACCATGTCTCATTGTGGTTTTAATTTAAATCTCCCTGAAGAATAATGATTTTTGAGGATATTTTCATATGATTAAGAGTCTTTTGGCTATCTTTTTTTTTTTTTGATATGACAGTTAAGTTTTTTTGCTCATTTCTAAAATGGAATTGTCTTATTTTTGGCATGTAAGAGCTTTTAAAATTATATGTATGTTGGATGTAAGTCCTTTGTTAAACACAAATATTACAAATGTTTTCTATATCTTTTCACTTTCTTATTGGACAGAGGTTTTACATTTTAATTAAGTCTATTTTCAGTTTTGTCTTTTATGCCTTCTGTGACTTGTCTAGAGATGTTTTCCTAACCTAAAGTCATGACAATATTTTTCTGCCATTTTTCCTAGAAGTTAAAGAATCCTAACTTTCATATTTAAGTCTATGGTAATTTCTTTTCTAAATCAGAAGTAAGAAAAGAACTAAATCTTAAGCAAAGAAGTATCGACAGAAGACTGCTAGTAAATCCATCCATTATATAAGTTGGGGAATGTTGAGGTTTTGTCATAAATACAGTATGACTTCACCTGGGTGGAAGAACAAGCACTTCTGCTATTCAGACTCTACATTCTGAATAAGGCTGCTACCCACATTCACAAACAAACCTTTTGTGTATATGCACACTCATCTACGGGTACACACACCCAGAAGTGGAATTACTAAGTCATCAGCAGTGAGATATTACTACAGACTACCATGTCTCATTGTGGTTTTAATTTAAATCTCCCTGAAGAATAATGATTTTTGAGGATATTTTCATATGATTAAGAGTCTTTTGGCTATCTTTTTTTTTTTTTGATATGACAGTTAAGTTTTTTTGCTCATTTCTAAAATGGAATTGTCTTATTTTTGGCATGTAAGAGCTTTTAAAATTATATGTATGTTGGATGTAAGTCCTTTGTTAAACACAAATATTACAAATGTTTTCTATATCTTTTCACTTTCTTATTGGACAGAGGTTTTACATTTTAATTAAGTCTATTTTCAGTTTTGTCTTTTATGCCTTCTGTGACTTGTCTAGAGATGTTTTCCTAACCTAAAGTCATGACAATATTTTTCTGCCATTTTTCCTAGAAGTTAAAGAATCCTAACTTTCATATTTAAGTCTATGGTAATTTCTTTTCTAAATCAGAAGTAAGAAAAGAACTAAATCTTAAGCAAAGAAGTATCGACAGAAGACTGCTAGTAAATCCATCCATTATATAAGTTGGGGAATGTTGAGGTTTTGTCATAAATACAGTATGACTTCACCTGGGTGGAAGAACAAGCACTTCTGCTATTCAGACTCTAGAACACTCTGATCTTAACTCTGTCT